CCTCGGCAGAAGCTTATGCATTGAAGCTTTGTGATTAAAAGAACATGTTTGATTGCATATAAGAATTTGTGAAAAGATATCTAATTGATTTTTATAAACATTATTCAATGAAAATTGTTTTCTTAAATTTCTTTTAATAAATACATATTAAATGTCTTTTCTCAAATTTTCTATACAAGCTAGATTTCGTATACAATTGATTCATATAACGAATATAGCGCGTGCATCATGTTTTCTTATTTTATTTTCATGTCACTATATTTTGTATTGCTGTTGTTACTGCATTACTTGTTTGCTAATTATTTTGTTTTCTTTTTCGTCACCTCCCCCGCATCCAAATTTGAGCAGAAGGTGAAGCGCCCACACAAGGTAATACTTTATAGTCATATATGTCTCTTTTTCCTTCTGCTTGCCATCGATCCATTCATAATCACGCTTTTAAAGCAACATGCTAAGATGTTGCTAGTTTCATAACCATCACGAACCATCTGGAATTGGATTGCTACACGCTAATCTTATGGAATTTAAGGAAATGGCACGTGCCTTACCTTGCTTGTCAGTACGTATACAGAATGCATTTTCTTACAATATAAAAAAAAAAGGATAGAATATATCTAACACGATAATTTTCTTCGATAGATATTATTTTTCCTCTTCTTTTTTAATTATTAATTAAACGGGTGTTTTTTTTCTTCTCCTAGGATATCCCTTTTTCTTCTTCTTTTTAAATTACTGAAATATATGAAAAACGTTTCATCATTTGGTTGTTTATCACAACAATTAATGAGGTTGCATTTTATATATACATGTTAATAATTGTACTTTTCCAATCGCTTTGTTATTATAATCGCCACGGTCATGTTATGAGTTTCATCACTCTTATTATTGTCATTCCACGAACATTTAATTATTTAATATCGTTTATTAATTAAAAGTACATTGGATAATTAATTACATTGCTGCGACTTATACGTATTATTACTTATCACGTTTCCGGCTAATTTGGTGTGGGGCTTGTAAAAACAAAGAAATGGCAGGATGTAATCAATTATGGATATATTCCTTAATGCTCTCTTAATTCAATTGCATCGTGCTATTTTTGGTATATCAACCACGCCTTTTATTCGAAGAGTTTAAGTTTTATGTATAAATTTGAATTTAATCTTTAAAATTATGTTTAAGCTCGAAAACTGTACTCCATATGATATCATGGATCATTAATAATTAATCAAAGATGGTTATATATCATATTGGATTCGTGAATTTATAAAATGTTCATATGCTATAAATAATGCATATATTTGATGTATTTCAATAGTATAGAGAAAATTAATTTTTTCTTCTTAATAGATCATCGTCCGCATGGCCGAAATACTGAACTTCCGGTGATACCACGTAGCGAAAGCACTTCCGAATTTCAACCATTGGAGGATAAAGAAGTCGAATATTTCTTTGCTTCTGATGCCAGTGCTGTGATCGAACACACAAATCGTGTTATATTTCTGGAAGTAAATAAATTTTTTTGTTCATTAATTAATATAAATATTTTTGTTTCAATAAGTAAATAAGTAAATTAATGATCAATAAATTAAATCAATAAATGATGATAATTTTATTCAATATCAGGATGATGATGTAGCTGCCGTGAAAGAAGGTGCTCTTAGCATTCATCGACTTCGTCGATGCATGGATGATCCTCATGCAAGAGAAATTACTACCTTGAAAATGGAAATCCAACAGATCATGAAGGGTAACTATCAATATTTCATGCAGAAGGAAATCTTCGAGCAACCTGAATCAGTGGTAAACACTATGAGAGGACGTTTGAATTTCCAGGATAATTCTGTCACGTTGGGAGGTATTAAAGTAAGTTTATGACAATTTGATTTTTCTTCAATTTTTTTTTAATAGAAATTAATTTAATTTAGTTTACTGTTAGGATTACATTCCTGAGATCAAAAGATGTAGACGGTTGATGCTTATTGGCTGTGGAACAAGTTATCATTCTGCTATTGCTACTAGACAACTTTTGGAAGAATTAACTGAATTGCCAGTTATGGTTGAATTAGCTTCTGATTTCCTAGACAGAAACACGCCAGTATTTAGAGATGATGTTTGTTTCTTTATCTCACAATCAGGTAATGAATATTATAATTCATTTATTTATTGATTTATGTGAAATAATATAATTTATTTTTATTATTTATAGGCGAAACAGCAGATACGCTAATGGCTTTACGATATTGTAAAGGACGTGGAGCTTTAATAGTCGGTATCACCAATACTGTAGGCAGTAGTATTTGTCGTGAATCACACTGCGGTGTTCATATAAATGCTGGTCCTGAGATTGGTGTTGCTAGTACAAAAGCTTATACCTCTCAATTTATTTCTCTTGTAATGTTTGCTTTAGTTATGAGTGAAGATAGAATTTCTCTTGGTAATAGACGTCAACAGGTATTATTAATTTCTTAATTAATTTTTTTATAAATTTTAAATAATATAATACGTTACAATACGTTATTCTTGCATTTAACAGATTATTGAAGGATTAAAGAATTTGGATAATCTTATTCGTAAAGTTCTTCAACTTGATAGTAAAGTCAAAGAATTAGCAAAATCTTTATTCCAACATAAATCCTTGTTGATTATGGGTAGAGGATACAATTTTGCGACGTGTATGGAGGGTGCTCTGGTACATCTAAATTTAAAACGTGATGTTTTTAAATTATTATGAACGTATTCATATTATAATTTTATTTTTTTACTTACAGAAAGTTAAGGAATTAACGTATATGCACAGTGAAGGTATTATGGCAGGCGAATTGAAACATGGTCCTTTAGCACTTGTAGATGATTCAATGCCAGTGATAATGATCGTTATGAGAGATCCAGTTTATATAGTAAATAGAATTCTTGAGATAAATTAATTTTACTTGTGATTAATGTAAAATGTGGTAATAATTATCTCATAATTTTTTTTTAGAAATGTATGAATGCTTTACAACAAGTTACAGCACGAGATGGTAAACCAATTGTTATCTGTGAAGAAGGAGATAGTGAAACAAAAATGTTTGCAGATAAAGTTCTTGAAGTACCTAAGACAGTAGATTGTCTTCAAGGAATTCTTACTGTTATTCCAATGCAACTTTTATCTTTCCATATCGCAGTTCTTCGTGGATGTAATGTTGATTGTCCAAGAAATTTAGCAAAATCAGTCACGGTTGAATAAAACTTCATTTAAGAACATAAAGGATTTATTTCAAATATTGTTATTGTTAAATATTGAATTTGAATTGAATTTGAATTATAAAAAACAATACGGGACAGAAGAAATTTTCGAAATAATATGAAATTGTTATCAATTACATTTTGATACGTTTTTAAATACTAAATATCGTATTAAAATAAATATCGTATAAAACAATATCGTATTAAAATGAGATAAATGCAATTGTATTTATTTCTTGTATTCGTGAGCCTGTTAGAAAATATTTACAGTTAGCTATTAATCTTTATATTAATCTTATATTAAAAAACAAATATTTTTTAGTAAAATCAATGAAGAAGTTCCTTACATGGAATTAAATTAATTGACTTTCCAGAAAATAATTCCAGTGCATTTAATAATTGTATATATTTATACCAATTAATAAGAAACAAAAGAAAAAAAATATAACGCTTTTCAGATTATAAATAAAATGTAATTCTATTTCTTATAATCAAGTTGAATAAGACTGCAGAAAAAGAAAAATTGTATCGTGATCTTACGATATTTATATGTGATTATTCTGAAAAATGTTCATATGTGCGTATGCAGATGTGTGCATTTCATAAATTTTAATCGAGATAAAAAAAACAAACAATAATGGATGTAGAAAATTAAACGATTGAAAGAAATAATAATAATTTACTTATATGATAATCGTATTTTTTACTTCAAAGTAAAATATGATTTTTATCATATTCTTTGAAAAATTTCTATTTTGTACAGTATTTAAGACAGGAACAAATATGAAATTTTTTTACTTAATAAATATCTTCGATTTTGCTACAAAAAATATATATGAGAACAACTTATAAGTAAATTTTGTTACTAATGTAATATATTCATGTTTAAATTTAAAAATATTGTAAAATTTACAGATTTTATCTATAATATATGTAGTAAAACTTTGATGTTCCATCTTATAGCTGTAAAAAATTTCCGGTTTCTTGTTTGTTGACTAAATATAATAGAAAAATGTAATTTTTATATTGATTAGTTGAGGTGTTGGAAAAATAACATAATCGTCTGTAATTTACTTATATAAAGTCATATATAATATCTTCTAAAGTATATTAAGCAACAAATAAACTTTTAGAAGATACAAATATAAATACACACACATACACACACACACATGTTATTCATATCAAATTATAATATGTGTTCAACAAAATGCACATGAATGTACATTGTTTTTTTAAATATAAACACAATTAAAATGTAAATGTATTGAATAAATTGTTAAAGAAAAATATATTATATAAAAATTTTATACTTAATAATATTAATATAATGTCTTAATTTTAATATTGTCTTGGCAATATAATTAAAATTCATATATCATATAGAAGTTTGTACATCTTTTAATTTCTTGAGATCTATGCTTGTATCAAGTGTACATGAGTATCGTTCTAATTGGACGTGCGCCAAAAAGTCGATCGAAGTGATACCAAAGCTTCGTTCGGACGGCGTATGCGTCAGTAGTAAATCTCGTGTTTATGTCGGACATGCGGAATTGAGTCAGTGCGCGGTATCCCGTCTAACCAGCGACGGTACGCAACTACTTTCGATTATTCGTAACGTGAAAACGTAAAAGAAATCGGTGTCAGTTTTATTTGTTCGATATTACAAGAAACGATCATAATTTCATCAATACGAGTTTATTTTTTGATGGATTGTATTTATTACGTGGAAATAAATATTCTTTTGCAAACTACGCTGCTGCGTATAGTTACGCGACGATCGTTGCGTTGACGAGGAAAAAAAAAAAAAATAGAATAAAAAGTAAATTATACGTGAAGCGTGATCTTAAAAAATTAGCCGCGTGATCGAGCATAATTCCAGGTGCTAAATTTAAATGTGTTGCCTCGATCCCCTTGGGTTATTTCATCTAGGTTGGCTGCGCTCGAACGGTTTGCTAGCAAAGCTCTATCATCAGCCCTGCCAGCAGTGGTATTGTTGATCGTCATTACCAGATATATACATAGTCGTGGTCGCCATTGCCGGCGGTAGCGGCACTGTGAACACCGCCTGCGCCATCGCGAGCTACCACCACTACGCGAGTCAGTCGACAGTCTGCCGGCGAGCAGTGCGGACGCGTCGTGAAAGAATTTAATCATCGTTGCTCGCAAGTATTTGCTGGCACGACCGCGATTTGCCCCACCGTCGGTGCCACGGTAACACACGGCTCCCGCGGACAAAACCATTTCCCCTCTGCCCGGCCCGACGACCCTCCCTTCCGTCGGTTACCCGGTGTTCTACCAGCGCCGCGGCAGTTCCCCTCTATTGATCGAATTTGACCTGCGAAGTTTCCCCTAGCGTGTGCAGTAGTGGCGGCCGGCAGTGGCTCTCGCGCTTACGTTCCTCGGTTAGTGCGGTAAATAATCGCGATACCTCGGCATGGCTACTCCGACCGCTTGCACGCGGTTTAGTGACAATTACGAGCTCAAAGAGGAACTGGGCAAGTAAGTACAAAAAAAAAAACATTCATGATATTTAAAAGTAACGAATATGAACCGAACGAAGATGAAGAAAGAAAGACAATGAGAGTTTGATTTAACGTTACCGCGTGTCACGTTTATTTCGTTTTTTTATTTCGTGTACACACATTTCGTATCCCTTTGTCTTTCTTGTCTTTTCATCCTCTTTCTCTTATATACTTTTATTTCTTAATTCATTTTGATTTGTATTACATACGAACCTGTATCGTAATATGTATAAGCATTTCATATATTTCATATATTGTGATGTATCTCGTGTCACTGATCAGTGGCAGCATTCGTTGTGCGATATTTAGATGGACCCGCGAATGACGATCAGTTTAGAGCGCGATTTTACTAGCAGACGACGCCGTGTTGTCGGCCATGATTATTCTCTACGTACACAGGGTCTCTTTCTTCTTTAGCTTTTTCCTACTTCTGTTGGTCGTCCGTTTATCATTCTCTTTTTCTCCATCCTTCTTTATCTCGTCGTTTCATGTTCCTTGCTTATACGCGGGAGACACCCCGTTGCATTTCGTCTATATTTAAGCACGGCCTGTCTGCTTGTGGCTCAGGCTCTATATATAAAGCGTCAGGGCGCTTGCTATCGTGCCTTGTGCCGTCGTGGTGGTCTCACCGTCGAAAACGAAGCATCCGCATCGTACGCGGATCTGTCATCAAATCAATACGATGTCGTCGCGCCGCTTTTTACCTTCATCCCCCTCCTTCGACATCTTTCTCACATTCTTGTTCCTTTTCTTTCTTCATTTTGTTCATGATCTCTCTTTTTTTCATTCGTTTATCTCTTTTTCCGTTTATTCTTTCGCCTATATGTCCTTATTCGATCGACTACTTTCTTTTTATTGTTCAACGATATTCTCTTGTGTTCGGCTGTGTAACGGCAGG